TTTCCATTCTCCCCACGGACCAGCTGTCATCGACTGGAAGTTGACTGATTCCTGTTAACCTGCACTAATGGGCCAGTCAACATGACAAATGATGTCAGCATCGTAATCCACTGGTGCGTGAGGACCATCGTCAGTCGCTCTCCGTGCTTCTACATCCGAATCGGGCAGCTGCCATTACATCCGAATCCGTTTCGAACCCGATTCGGATTTTTAGTCCGATAATGTTTATCGAGAACATCGTCAGCTGTTGCTGGTTTTCAAACACATACACACGCAAATATATGACCCAAATGCTTTGGATTTTATTTCTCAGGTTGGCCTATTACAACAAGAATTGTTGCCATTCCTAGGAGACCATGCAGCTCCACGGTCATACGTAAACCTACCTATAGCAGTGATGCAGAGAAAGAAAAGCAAAGAAACGACCACCAAGACCTTTCTTCATCGTGGAACGATCACCTCTTTTCCCAGATGCAGTATCCATTACCGGAGGCAACTACGTGGAAGTTGGCGGGAACAAGATTTCCGACATCGTATCTCTGGCCAATCTTCACCATAACTTTCTCATCAATCACAGCCAAGTAGAGATCAGCATCAGCAACTAGAATACGCAGCGTGCTGCCCGGAAGAATCCCGTTGCGAGTCCTAATGGCGGCCAGCCCAGTGATCTCATCCTTGAGTCCCCAATCGAACAGATGATCGTAGAACTGCACACCCAAGAACACGATATTTGTATCAGATGCACATGAATCTTTTGCTAGTGATGAAGTAGGCAAATTCGTGGTACTTACAATGGTGGGAACCCCTGGGTGTGTTAGAATGTAAGCATAGCCTTGCATGACCTTGTCAGAAGGGAAAGGCCACAGCTTCTGGGTCGAACCGGTGTCGTGGTTGTCGACGAATGTGACCGCCTTTTCCGGCCACCACCCTATCATCCCCGACGCCTTGCCTTGGGGATCCCGCAGCCTCCACAGCTCACCTTGCACCGCAGCTTGCAGTACACCCTTGGTGGTGAAGTCGAACGCTGCTGCCGGACCGCCCACGTCGTGAACCCAGTTGACCAGCTCCTGGCGGCTACCATCTTGGTCGTACGCGGGCTTCCCGTCGCCGCCATAAGTCAAAGAGCTCCACAGCTCTGCAACCACGAAGTCGGGGCTGGTATGGCTCACGTAGATTTTCGCGATGCTCGGCGAGTATCCCCTGGCGAAATCGAGCCTCCAGCCGTCGAAGCCGATATCAGTCCTGAGCCAATTCAGCCAGTCCGTGAGCTCCTGCTGGACCTGTTGGTTCAGGTGGTCGATGTCGGGCGCGGCGCCGAAGTCACCGCCGGTGTCGCGGTTTCCGGTTCCATCGGAGTACTGCGTGTCGTCGCTGCAGATCATGTGCGGCCCCCAGTCGAGGCGGCTGTCGCTCGTCCCGCCTTCGAAGATGCAGTATATTCCTCTCGCATCCTTGCGCTCGGCGCAGCGGTGGTTGATGACGATGTCGGCCACACATTTGATCCCTTTGTCGTGGAACGCCGCGATCAGCGACTTTAATTCATCCCGAGTTCCATACTTTGACGCATTGAGATCATATAGCCGACCGGGCATGTAACCTGAAAGAGAAGTTTGACGGTGCGTCTGAGATAGAAAAGATAGATGCTCATGGTGAAGGATCATGCAGTTGACGATCCTAATGGAGTCGATTGCTTGCATTCTTGGTTAGTACTGCAACATAAAGGCAACGACCGTGGAATCTAATTAATGCTACGTTTATCCTATAACGACTGAGAACTAGCAACCAACGTCATCAAGTGAATCCTATCCAAAACCTGTCTACATTTACTCCAGAGATCCTATTTAAGCGGTGAGAAAGCTAGCCGTCTTTCTAAGTTTCTTACATGGTTTATCTGATATATAAAACGCACTATCACGTCTCCGTCATGACGATGGGAGTGAGCTAACTCAAGGTTATCTCCTCCTGGCCTGGATCAGACATGTGAACCTAATACATCGTAAACTGCTCCCAATAAAGATTTGAAATGGGAAAAGAATAAAGAAATAGAAAAATTAAGCTATAAAAATAACTATGATGATGATGGCGTAGAAGTATTGCATGGCTACAGGTGGAACCTTGTTCCGAGACGGAGTGTGATGGTGGAGGTAGCCAGACGTGTGTAACTCCAGCCCTGGCTATGTCAGGAACTTGGCTCCTCAGAAAGTTGTACCAGCCCCCTTGTTTCCTCCATGACTCCCAGTTAAAACCCTGCGATGCATCATCATTCTTTTGATCGTACTCTCAACCACAACATAAGCTGAGAATAAGAGACAACAACAACTGTGTCAACCTGAAAGAGGATCTGAGACTGCGCGGTCGTGAGCGAAAGCACGACAAGGAAGACGAAGGCAAGCAACAGTGGCTTCATCTTCTCCCAGTCTTATCCCTTCAAACAAGCTAGAGAATAAGAGGAGAAAGGAAGGAATGGCTTAGAATGAGAAAGCGAAGACCCGAGGGCTTCGTTATATAGAAGTCGGTAGGGCCAAGCGGTCAATCTTCCACGTCAGTGGCGGGTCCCATCGCGATGCCAGCGCCTATAGTAATCCGGAACGAGGATAAGGGGAAGTGGGTTGCGAACGAGGCCCACAAACATTCCATTTGACGCTTGCATGGGTCATGTGTTGAAAGCTAAAGTGGAGCTTGTAATGAAACTGCGTTATCTCTTTCGCCCATGAAAGGTATGACCTTATCCTTGTACAAGATTTCTTGCTTGACCATTGATATGAATGGCTGTATATACCTGCTTTGACCATCGTTGGCCGCAGATCAGATTTGTTTTCGAAAAGAGCATTTTACTGTACATATGATCTTTAAGCTTCACGCTCATTTAAAGTGCAATAAATAAAGAAGACATTGCAATGATCGAGTCATTGGGTTATCGGTGGCGAGTTGGAAGCTTGAAGAAGCTCCTCGGTGTGAGCACCTGCAAGTTATTGTCAACAAACAACCGTGTAAAAGCTCCTCGGTGTGAGCACCTGCGAGAGATTGCCGATAAGCAACCGTGAAGCGATAAGGATGCATGGGAGGGATCAGTTCCAACCCTAGACGAAGGCCCACTGATCATTACAAGCGGTGAAGCGCATCTTATCCCATCGAACAAGGGCAATTTAATGCATCTCCTTCTTCTAATAGATATCGATTATGCGAGATCGACACTTGCCAATCCAATGTCGACTTTGTGTCCGAGCTCATCCACCAAAGGCAAAGTGATAGTGTAGTTCTTCACTACGATTAAGTAATCGTGGCAGAGCCTTCGAAGGACTTCATGTCTGCTTCTAGATTGCAAGAGTGATCTAAACTTGGCACTGTAAACTTTGCCAGTTGAGAACATTGACCACTGCGTAATTCTGTGGGTTTCTGCTCAAGCTGATTTCGTGAAGTTGGATGACCATAATGAGACATCAGCCATTCTGATCCAAAAGTTGGCTTTCCTGTTTCGAGGTTTGATTAGTTTTGTATCCTTCTCAATGAGCTCCAAGCAGATGCATACCCAAACATAGTGTTAGCGCAAAGGCACCCAAAGATTAAAGGGCAGAAAACTTCACCTAACCATACCCGAATCCTTCCTGTTCTTCAGTAGTCCTGTCATAAGAGGAACAGACTAAGAAAACAAAACCTTGGAAAAAGGAAGAAGAATTCGAATATGATTCAGTGAAACAGAAGGCATGCCATCATTGGCAGAAGCAACATATCCACAAAGCTTAGCTGATACTGGCTAGCTAGAAAGATCATGTCTGCAGGCCTCGTCCAACGAATGCCATCCATCACGTAAAGAAGAAAGACACGCTCTGGCCAAAAATTGCAGGCGATGTTTATTATCGTTCGGCCGCCAATCAAGTGGATGAGGACGAGGAACGAAGCAGGTTGGACTCCGCGGCACGTCTCCGTGGATGCTGCAGATGGATAACGCCGGAGAGCTGGATGAGGATGAATGATAAATTGCGGTCTGCTGCTGGCCGGTATCAGAATGACGCCAGTCTCGTCGCCCTTGGCAGGCAGGCGACGTCATGCCGTGCGATGGAAACCGCGTGCAGGCCGCGGCAGCTGTGCTGCATGCACTCGTTACCACAAACCTTGTGTCTCGTGCGCTGCTGCTGCATCGATCATTAAGACTTCGAGATCAGAGCTCAAGTTGCAGCAATTCCACACTACCAACATCCTTGGGGAAAGTGTTTTCTTCCTCGACTGAAACCCTTAGAAGCCGAGAACTGTCAAGAAGCTCCAGCGTCATAGATATCTCCTAAGCAGCTTCCTGGTCATATACCGAAGGCCTGGAGACCTATGACAAATCGAGGAATGGGAAATAGGATGACAAACATGAATTAGAAAGCTGATTAAGAATCATATAGTACCAGATATTGTCTATGTGCAGGTTAACATTTTCCTGGCCACTCTAAGATAGAACGCTGTCGACAACCTCGCAACATATATCAGCTGTCACTCTGAGAGTGGGCAGATGACGGCAGAGCCAACAGGATAAGTTTGGTTAGAAACCCATTGGGATCATAAATAAGAATGGGGTATTTAAGTTAATTAAATAGTTGGCTTGTTGTGGTATAGCAATTAATTACAAAGAGGCAATACTGTCCATTTCGCGGTGATGTTTTCGAAAAATAATAATATTTCGATCACAAATCCAACGGCTCCGAATTCAGATCTTCGTAGATCGTGCACGTGCATTAATTGCGTCTCTCGTCGAAAGTTACTCGTCCGACCACCACTTTCGCAACAGGAGGCAATGATGCGGCTCTCGCGGGACCCGCTCAGTGGGACCGGGCCGTCGTCTCGGATAACGTCGCGGGTAGGCGGCCAAACAGGTGAGGAAAAGGCATCTTCGCCGAGATTCCATTTGGTTGGCAAAAATATCTTCCACGGAATAAGGTGCCAGGATACTCCACGTCTAAAGTGCACAGCCACGTCGGCTGAGTTAGGCTTCCTCTTTTCTTCGTATATCCGACTCTTCTCCTTCCTCGCCTCTTCCCACTCACTCCTACCCTGAATAGTTCGTTCCGTTCGAGCTGTGCCCCGAGGAGGCTTCCCCTTCCTGATCTTCGATTGCTTGCTCCAACAACGCGAGAATAGTTTCCCTTCTTTATCCCTCAAAATGGACGATGGTCGGAGGCCCATTCCGGCTCCCGTGCCGGGTAGTGCGGCGGCGGCGACGAGGGAGGTCTCGGGTGCGGAGCGTCGGAAGCCGAGAGGCACCGGCGCCGAAGAGGAAAGGGCTACAAGGGTAATGGAGGCTGTGCCTTCTGTTTCTTCTTTGGTTCTCGTGTTTTTCCTATGTAGGTTTTATATGGATGTGCAATAATGCTGCGTGTAGTGCGAAAAGCTTATTACAGAAGTTTGACATGCCTTTTCTGAGAAAAGTTGAGAGCAAGTTATCCCAAAACCTGCCATCAGGTTGAGATTGAAACCATCTGCGAGTTAAGATTCAATTTCCTTGATCACGAACTTGACTGTTTGCCCTTGTAATTTCATATGTTCTATATACACTTACCATGTAAATATTGCCATCCTATGTCATATTGTAATCATACAATCGGAAGGATGACTACTTCCAAGAATAGGATAGGATCATTTTACCTAGTTTAATTTCTCGTTTGGAGATGATTTATATTGGGTTTCCTTATGTTGCTCTGTTTTTGTCAGACACTACGGTATGGTATGACTATTTTGGATGCACAATGTTATGCATCTGCTCCAAAGAAGAGAAAAAAGATCCATCATTGTATAGAATGTCAATTGAGGCAACTGTTGTCGCGCTCTTAGGACTCCGGTTTTGGCTGGTAATTGGCTTTTCTCTTTATCTTGAAGAAGATGAGTTAGAATGGCCATGGATGTGAGGGGATGTCCAAATACCTGGAGAAACTTTATTGTCTTTCCGTATGTATGTTCTGTGTTCGTCTTCGATTTAGTCTGCATTGGTGTTTCAGTATTCCATTTTTGTTTGACAACTTTACAAATTACTAGTAGTACTTTAAACCATGCTCTTGTGGTACAAATTCTGAAAATGTAGTATATATAATTCATGCCAATTCTCCGTTCTTCATAATCATCATGGCCTCACAAAAGCACCTTCTTACTAGGTACTTCAGATACCACAATCCCCGCTCATGGAATGGACAGATGAGAAGCACAACCTATATCTGAATTCTCTGGAAGCATCATTCATTAACCAATTACATAGCACAGATTGTGGTTCCAGAAAACTTTTTGGATGGTTTCCGACAATGACACAGAAAGACAGGCATGCATATGGATCAGGCTCTAACTACATGCTCTATGGTCAGGTATGGAAGTGACAGATTTCTGTTTGCCAAATCTATCCTAACAATTTTTCACCCCATTGTAGAGCTTCAATTATGAACTGTTAGGACTCTATTGCTAAACTAGTCGTGTCGATGCAGGATGCAACCTGTTTCTTCCTGCAGTTATGTTTTTCCTCTTCCTTGTTTCATTTTGTGTAAAGAGGTGTTGCTCAACAACTACATTAACCTCAGCAACATGGACAATTTTTATTTTTATTTTCTTAAGATGAACAAAAAGCTTGAAGGCCATATCACAACATTCATGATGCAATGAGCTATAGTTTTATGGTTCCTAGGGATCATGAAAGATTAGATGAATCTGATCAATACTGATCCTAGGAATCCTGCTCGAGTTAGTTTCCTGCACACTGGCCAAAACAGCAGTTTCCAAGTGTAAGGCCTTTTTCTCTGTCGATGTATCTTTGAACAATGTCTTTTTATCATAAAACATTAAAAATTAGTCAAAATTGATGCAAGTTACATTTACCACTGGAGAAAGCAAAAATGTTATTGGAGAACTGCCAAAATACTAAATCCCCTGTCTAAACTCTCGTTCACTATGTTCCCAAATCAACAATCATAAAAAAGCTTAATTTCTTACATGTGCCAGTCGTGATGTTCGGTGCTGTATTTTTAAAATGAATCCAGCAGTTGCGAGAAAATTTCAATGTGCAAAGCTCATTATCCTTCGATTTGTCTAAATTTCATTGTTTTTGCTCTTCTCTTTTCGTCTAACTTTAGGGTTTTTTATTTACTTCAGAATCAGGTAAATCTTGGAGCACTTGAAGAGGTGTCAGATCAGAACTTTGTAGATATGGATCCTGAAGCAGAGAACTTAAGCCGATCAATTAGGAGGAAGAGAGCCAAAAAATAAACTTACTAAAACCTTGGTTGGATCCTATACTTTTGATTATATTCCAGTCCAGTAATTTCTTGTGCAAGCTGGATCGCTTTGATCATATTTTGATATTATTATTGAATCGTACTTGTCGATATTCTTTTCAGGAAATTCTGTTTAGGCAATCAATTCTAGCAGCATGTGATTACTATCTTGGTGGACTTCGAAACTTGGCCTGCATCTGGTTGATCAGGAGCTGAAATGGAGTTACTGTCAATGTTTTATGAATGAAAAAGAACAGAATGCTTGCAATATGAGCCATCACTAGTTGCTTTAAATTATGAGACACTTCTTGAAATCCTTCATGAGAGCTGATGGAAACAGAAGTAATCATAGTAACTTATTCATCGAAAACTATCTGTCCTTTACTACTTTAATCATCCTGCATTTTTTTTGTACAATTTAAATACTTGAGATAGTTCAGTTGATATTCCAAGTCCATGTACAGTTCTTCTAGACTTGAGACGAAAAGTATATTCGAATGTGATGAATTTTTCAATGGTTTGTTTTTAGTTTGACCAGTGTTGTTCTCTATATATTTTCTAGCATATGAAGTGCATCAAAGTCTAACATGTAGAAAACGAGTTAAATGAAGAGGAAAACTAGGCAGCTTGAAGATTCAAATGCACTCTTCTGCTATGTTTACATTTTCGCCATGCCGGTTCATCCAAGAGATTAAGATAATAGAATTGAAGGAATTAGCATGATTTATCGTTCAAAGTCAATTAAACATCAAAGTTTTTAGCTTCTTGCACGTGTGAGTAAAAGTTTGCCCCAAAATGACAAGAAGAAGCATCATTTTCCTAGTCAAATAGATCACTATATTTTCACCATATCTTCATGTTCAATCTTCTTCCGATCACTATTGTACCTTTTCGATATGTCCCTTCCTCAGCACATATAGTTTAACCGCAATGCAGTTTTGGACAAAGTGAAAGGGTGAACCTTTGTCTCAGTATCTCAGAAGTTGTGATCAGTGGCCTTTGTCATTAGTCAGAAGAGATTGCAACAAGCTTGCAAAGGGCAATCAATGACAAGATCATATATGGTGGCCTTTGGTCTGTTTGAAGGTCTACTACGAACATTGATGGTGTTGTGCTTTAGAGGGGGAGTCCTTTTGAGACTTGGCCTTCCCAACTCTGAAATGTTGTTGTGGAAGCACCTCCAAACAATAGGCAGATTTCTTGGAACAACAGATGGAAGACGAGACCAAGTCTTCTCCGAAAATTCATCAGTCAAGAAAAGATGAGGTATGTATACTTTGTTGATCGGACTCGACATCATGCAACGTAAAGACCAAGTAAAATTTCCTAATGCTCTTTTGGATGAACTCTTCTCAGTTTTTGACTTTTTTTCTGCATGGAGGTACAAAGTCCATTCATATTTAATGTTAGATGGATCTCTTCTCGTCCTCCTGACACATTCAATGGCGTACCAATCTTCGAATGATGTTTCTTCGGGTGACGGTGACGATGATACATACATACATGAGAATGGAACGGACATCGATTTCATCCTTCAAAATCAACACAGAAAGTAGGAGTTTGATTTTAGTAAAGAAGAGAAGATAAAAGATGGAAGAGAAGAGAGGAAGACGAAAGCTTGCTAATAATTTTGATGTGCAAACAGCTATGAGATTTTGAGTTCCATTACAAACATATAGTGTGGATAGGTATGCAAAGCTCACATATAGGAGTCATTCGAAAGAAAACCTCCAAGAAAAGAGTTGATCGATGTCTAGCTTTTGACCAAAGGCATCACTTGATAAAGTCTGATACATGACAAGATAAATTTATGAGCCAAAGAGCCAACCATTTGTGGTGTTGACTCCGAGGCAGCAACAAATGGAAACTTCCTCCACATTGCACCAAAACAAGTCATCACAATCAAACCCTTTGACGAAATGTAGATGCACCACCCACGTCCACCCCTCCTTTGGCTTTCGATGTCATCTTTTCACTGTTTCTGGTTGAAAAGAAGCCAATACCAATAAGTAAGAGAAAGATTCCACAGCAGATGAGGGTGCCAAGGAACAAAGCAAGTAGGCACAGCACCAAAGTCATGTTCTTTTAGTAAAAGAATTCCCCCCACCTACTGCTACTTTACCAATATCTTCCTCCTGGAAGAAACCTGGAACATCGACATTTACCTTACAGACCTAATTCACAACTGACATCTGATATGTTAATCGATCCTACATCAGGTTTGACATGTCGAATTTAGATGTTTGTCTTGGTCAACAAGGAAACAGTCAATTCATGCGTGGTGCATACTCTTTTCTTCTCAGCATTAAGAACAAAAAATCATTATATATATATATGATTTGTAAATACATGCAAAAAATTAAATCAAGTCAAAGGCATTCACTTTTCTGGGATTCTTGAGCGTCTTGTTGCGCACAGCATTTGGAAAGCTGAAGGTGAAGAACGAGATGGTCCGTCCCATTTGTCTTTCTTTGCTCCCTTTGTTACGTCTTTGAATTCTCTGGAAGCGACCAAAAGTTTACGGCGATGCAAGGAAACTTCTATTTGCACCCATCACCAAAGAAAAGAATTTATATCCATATAGCCCAAAAGCAACTTCTGCTCTCGGGTTCTTTGTCTCCCTATCTTTCTCTCCTTCGGCTCGTAGTTTCATCTTGTCCTCGGATCTCCATGGCTTTGGGTTAGATGATTTCTCTTGTTTCCGTGAGTCGGGTTATGGAAGAAGAGAGACCGATAGGTGTTGCAGGGAGGAGCGACGTTGATGGCGGCCTCGGTCTGGGTTGCTCCCACAGGGTGATCATCACCGGTTTCTACTGCTGGGGTTGGGAGTTCTTGACCGCTCTCCTCGTCTTCGCGTTTTGATCCTTCTGAAACCCAACCAAATAGTGCACCGGTCGATCGCTCTTCCTGTAGTTTTCTTGTTGTTCTCATAGGAAAGGAGTCCACGAGTCTTAAGGTGGTTTAGTTCTTGAAAGAGGTAGGCATGATGACGAAGAGGAACAACTGTGGCAGCCGCGGCGGCGGCGGGCCGGCGCCGTTCCTGGTGAAGACGCACCAGATGGTGGAGGACAACGTGACGGACGACGTGATATCGTGGGGAAAGACCGGCACGTCCTTCGTGGTGTGGAAGCCGGTGGAGTTCGCCAGAGACCTCCTCCCCGTCCACTTCAAGCACAACAACTTCTCCAGTTTCGTCCGCCAGCTTAACACCTACGTAAGTTCTACTGCTCTTCTGTTTCTTCTCCGACTTGTACTGTCGATCCATAATCCGCCAGCTTAATATCATTTGAATCGTTGTTGTGAGTTCGTCGTCAGGCATTTTAGGTGAAGACTCATGACCAATATACTCTACTGTTTCATTGGTTACTGTCGGTGGCCAAACTTACCTGCTAAAGAACATTATTATTATTATTATTATTATTATTATTATTATTATTATTATTCTTCTTCTTCTTCTTCTTCTTCTCTAAGACTACAGTTGATCTCTAAAGCTTGAATCATATCATAACTTGGCATCTTCGGAGAGTTGAGTGAGAGAAGCACAATTCTGCAGAGACTCCCATTTCTAGTTTTCTTTGGACAACGTGGAATTGGATATACAAAACTACGCTGGTGATTGCAAGAGTAGTTGATAAGTACCTCTCTGCTGTCGCTAATGCATTAAAAAGCTGCAGCCATAGTGCACGAAAGTCAACGGAGGTGCATCAGTTTCCACAGGCCTTCTCACAAAGAAATCTGAGCTTCTTGTTTTCAAACCATGGAGTTGCATCAAAGTCATTGTCTTCTCTGCATTTGGAGACGAGGCTGTACAAAATCCTTCAGTCTGTTCACATGAACTTTGACCCTACCCACCATTAATTGTCCACAGCCTGCAGCTGCTAATAATGCTGAAAGCTCCATTTACTTGGATGTTAGGAGCTGCTTCCTACATTTATATATGTTATTCTTATCCACCAGCTAAATATTTACTTGGTACAACTGTGCTTGTCGTTTACTGCCTGAAGCTATGGCTATGACTGGTGGCAGGGATTTCACAAAGTGGTGCCGGATCGGTGGGAGTTCGCGAATGACAACTTCCGGCAAGGGGAGCAAAGGCTCCTCTGCAAGATCCGCCGGAGAAAGGCAGCTCTGCCACAAGTTCCTTCCGCTGGAAAAGCCAGCGCAGACAGAAACAACCGTCCTCCTCCTTCCCCTCTGTCTAATTCCGGGGAAGCTCACAGTTCTTCCACTGCATCCCTGCTGCCACCCTCTGAGCATCTTCTGGAACTCACACACGAGAACGAGAAACTGAGGATGGACAACCAAATCCTCAGTACCGAGCTAGCTCAGGCCAAGCGCCAGTACCGGGAGCTCCTAGCCTCCCTCTCCAACTTCGTGGATGTCAGTCAGCCCAACCTCAGTGTTCTGATGCAGGAAAAATCCGCATTAAGCGTAGGAAACGGATCAGAAACAGAAACCAAGAAGAAGGAAGCGGAAGAGGAGACGATGGATAACGAAGAAGAAGGTCTGAAGCTTTTTGGCGTGCTGCTGAAGGGTTTAGGGGGAGAGGGGAGCGACAAGAGTCGGAGGCTAAAGAGAGGCAGGTGCGACGAGACCGCCGATGGGTGTAGCGTCGGCGAGCGGCCCATGAAGATGGGTTTTGGCTGGCCATGGTGGGGGATGTCGAGCACAGTCCAGCATGGGAGCAGCAGGGTCTGCAATTGAACTCGTTGTTGTGTCTTATGCAGTAAGCAAAGTGTCTATAGCTTTCAATAGATAATAAGGATACGGCTGTATGATGCCAATGTAAAGTAGCTAAGAAAGAGCTCAAGCAATTCCGTGCAGAACAGTATTAGTGTATGCATCTAAAATGGTTGAAATGGACACCACAAAAGTGTTTTGCCAGTTTCTGTTTTTCTTTCACAAGAATTGAGTGCCTTCTTTCGACATGGAAAATGTTTCTGATTAGAAAAGAAAACATATGGTTGAAAACTATAGGTTGATTAGAAAACAAAAACATTGTGCGAAAACCATAGGTTTCCTCTCCTTTGTTGTCAGCCCAACATATACTGTTTTTTCCGACACTTACTCTCTATCGAGAGAATTCCTGTTTCATAGTTGACACTGCAAGATGATATTTTGATTCGGTGAATAGCATAAACAACGACAAGTAGAACTAAGGCGCACGCTTCCAAGATTGGCAGAAGACTTCACCCTAATTGAAGTTGGGACTGATGAGTGTTTTCTGTAGCTGCAAATTCCTTTTGGTGATTGGCAGTTCATTTGCTAGCTCTTATTTCAAGCTGTTCAAGACCAAATAGAGTTCTTCCATGAGGAGAATGGTGGGGGTACTATAATCATACAGAGATCTTTTGTTGCTGTTAAGGAAACAAGCTTAAGCTATCATCAGCATGTTAGATGAAGAGGAAAGCTTTAGATTTCAGGTGACAAGATCTGAGTGTCGACAATATTTTCTATTGTAAGTAATGTCATCATCATCATCATCAAATTGATCTCAATTCATATGTTCATAAAAAATGTTGACAGAGCAGGAAAATTTTTCCTTTACCTGATGAAACTATCAAAGGTCGTTTCTTCCAAGTAAAAAAATGTTGTACAATTCCAGGAAAACAAGGACAATATGTTAGCCATTGAAGATCAGAAAACATTTAAGTGTTTTGGATATCCTAGCAAGTATATGAGACTTTTATACTATCTGAATTAATTTTGCACAATAAGAACACAAGTCGAAAAAGCAGGCACACGGTTGGAGAAGTTTCCTTCGAGAAATCGGATGCAGAAGATGAAGCAATAAGATGGAGCAACTAATATACTTCGTTCCAAGAAAACATTTACTCGTACTGAAATAAATCATGATCTTATGGGGGCGATACGATCAGCCATTAGTACAATAATGAGCACCACAATGGTCATTCTAATCTTAATTAACATGTGTTTTCTATATCTCAGTTCAGATGCTTTCCAGATTACACATAAAATTTCTACATGCATTTAGGCGCAAAAAGAGCCTTATCTGATTTGAAGAAAGATTGCTGCAGCAGCTTTCCTGAGTGTATCTTGCACCTTCAAAGGTTGTACCAGAAGATTACATCCACATGTCCATGATCACCCACCCATCGATAGAAAAAACACTGGAACCTGCACTAACATCAATAAAAATCGCTAAATATATCGATAGCATAAGAGATAAAGACATCCAAACACCGAGAAGTCTTCTAACACATGATATTAATATACACAACCCTCCATTCATATCCATCTTTTTGTGAATGACCTGTTCAACATAAAGTTCAACATCTTTTTGTGCGGGACTATAAAGTTCAACATATACTACATCAGAATTCACCTGAAAATTATACTGCAAATGCCTCTTAAAACATGACCTGTTTATCCAAAAATAAGCGGAAAGGGAAAAAACAAGGTGGAGAATTGCAACCTGAACTAGTTGCACTCTTCTTCCATATCTGATATGAAAGTGGAATAAGCGCCAAACTACAGATGTGCATTCTATGGCTTTAATAATGCAAATGAATAAGCTATTATACACTGCTCCATGATTGCCTGCTGTACAGCAACCGTGTTTACGATGAACACCTCTGGAAAAATTTTCACACTGCCTGCAGGATCGGCTGTCCTCCATTGGGAAATGTTTCTGGGACTGTCTTTAGTACCTTTACCCGAAAGGTTACCTGAAAAAGGATCAAAAGATAAATGAATATTAGTTTCCGGCAAATCAATGTATTAAGATGAAAATGGTAAGGATTATTATTGATGATCTACCTACTATAACAATCAAGAGAAGAAACATTGCTAAAGTGGAATGCAAATGAGACACAAAAATTATGGTTCCACTATGGTTCTTCTAGTATCTAAGACACACCTACTAGTAATTTTAAACATATGGTTCCGCCACTAATAATGAGATTAGCAGCAACTAGCTATAGAAGTTCCACTACCAATGATTTTTCGTCTATGTGACAGAGACATTTGCCTCATACAAATAAAAGCATGTGAAACCCACGGTAGTCACGGTTTAACACAGGTAAATATTACATTGTACAGGTGAAATACTATGGCACATGAATCTATTGACTATATGGTAGAAGTGCATGGTGTGACCTATTTTAATAAGCACGTTTCATTATTAATCCTAATAAACATGCCCATGCTTGACAATTTCATATTATCTATACATTGGTAAAATGTAGTAAAAGTCAGAATACCTTCTTATCACTACCGAGTTCGATGACATCAGATGGGTGGATTCGAACAGGAAAATTAGGAGGCACCCGGTACTTCCTCCTTTCATTGCTGCACTCAAAGAAAAATAGAAGAAGAATGTCAATCTTCCATTTAGCTGTCGTCATTTTTCTAAAAACAACAATGTAGTACTTTAACTTTCCATCACTTACTTGGTTATCCAGGTACCATATTGGCTCTGCAAATCAGTCAAGAAGAAGGCATTGTCTTTGTAACTAATACATATATGTTCTACAGCCACCTGTCAGGAGGTTATCGATTAAAAAGAAAATTGTTATCCATGAAATGATCAAGATATCAGACAACAACATTTTGAAGGCTAGGAACACAAGTTGAAGAACAGAACCCCCTTTCGTTCCTGGAGAATATAAATACATCTATTTTATGGAAGAGCCACAAAATTGATATGGTTCATCTGAACAGGGTATTTTAGTGCAAGGGGTAAGAGTCTCACATTTCTCAAAAATAATAGTATAATCATAATCAATCATTAAGAAAAAAATTCCTAAGCTAATTCAAACATCTGCAAGCAAACCAAAATAATCACAAAACTACAACAGTTGATCCAAGATGAATCCACTATATTCAGGCAACAATGTAAGAGAATTTCCATTAATTTATCCAAGAATTTTCCAAAATCAGACACATGGCACAATAAAAGAGAGAACATGAAACAACAAACTGAAGAGAGACCTGTGTTGATCACTCGAAACAAAATTGGACAGAAGCTATCATACTCCCCAAATTGTATCTTTTTTTCAACTATTTTTCCTTAATGGACAAGAGAACACAGCCTATTTCATTTTGAAAACCACCAAGAACGTGGAGCATTTTTGGTCGTGGTATAGGTAGAAAGGTACACCACTCAGCTCCATTCATTGAATGATAGTAAGTACATGGAGAGCCTTCCTGTTGTGACAACAGGTTCACTCTATGTTATATTTCCATCACATAAAACCGAAGGACCCTTTTTTTTTCAAGAAGCTGTCACTACTGAATTCATTCTACTTACTGGGGGAACATTAACAAATCGTGACTATACAATGAAAGAGCAAGGAAAACTTGTAGGTATGGTAGTGTCAGATTAGCAATCTCTAACCTGTGGTGAAGGAATGACAAATGACTCTCCTTCTTTGCCAGTTTGTGCACGATTTCTGCCATTTCATGAATTGCTCAGTGACTATCTAATTAGCTCGTCAAGAACAAAAGTGAACATAAAACAGTATGCTCAAGAATTACCCAATTATTAATGGTCTATGCATATCTTTGACCAAATGAATGGGTTTCAATGCACTATCATTTCCTGTAACTGCAGGGAGAAGATACCACCTGGAAAAGTAACGATGTATTAGTTATGAACTGTAGTGTAAATAATGATTGATTAATGACAACTTGAGAAGACATACTCTCCACCCATAGCTCGTTCCATTGCATCATCATCTTCAAACCATCTCTGCAACTGGTCACTTGCCTGCAAAAGTTATCATATAATTGCATTACCATGATTCTATAATGAGTTACTTCTCTCTCACACAAAAGTTGAATTTTACAGTTGCAGCAGTTTGATCTGCATCTAACTTCTAGTGAGAGTACCTTGTCAGTTAGACGACAGCTCAATGGCCTTCCTGAAAGATTCGAGCTGCAAAAGTAACAAGTTACTTGGCTCAGTCTCAAGATCGATTCAGAAAATTTCCAGGCACAGAAAAGTTTAAATTGAACAACAGGGATTCAAAAGAATTACAGGGCAAAAGTGGGTAACCACAATTTACCTGTTGCCCCCTAGAACCCAGTTCAGCATCAGGGGCATTGCAAACTGTATAATGAATCTGCCACCAACCCTTCCAGGATGTGGTATCTGGAACTTGGTCAAAAACTACAAAGAATATCAAGACAAAGATGTTCAATTGGGAAGAGACGTCATGCAATAAACAAAGGAGATTTGATCCTTTAAAATTGAGTTCCTAGTATCAAGATAAACTGGAGGTTATCAGCCTGGTGTCATACCGACAATGGTCCCAGCCCCACACCCAAATATGGTCTGTAAGTGGAAGCCATTATTGCCGCCATTCGTGCCATTCCATATATAAGAGCAACACGGATCCTTCTCTCCTCCTCATAACTGCCATACAAGAACTATAAAATGTTATCTCATGCGACATATGCTAATAGGCACGAGGATATGCCTACATGCCATGCATAATGGCTGGTAATGTCCATGCTTCAGCACGGACGACATAAGGAACTATCTACAAAATTCTGTACACCTAGATAAATGTCATGATCCTGGTTAGAATGGGCACAGATGTCATGTAACGTGCCAGTGGCAGGCTAACAAATGCCGAGCATTATACATTTTTATTGAGTTTTTCCTTCATTCAAATGTAATAACAACTCCAAATAGCACAGTATCATTCGACAAGAAAGTTACCGTTTTAGAGGAGATGCAATATCCATTGGAGTTCCCGTTTCAACACTATGCTTCCAAGATTTCTCAAGTTCTAGAGCAAGCTGATAACTATCCTACAAGGATGATATTAAGATTCAAATGTAAGACTCACAAATGAATCGATATTAGATGTATATATTATTTCCAGATACATAAACTTCTGCTTCAGGTTTACATGCTTAAAAAACTCCAGGCCAGGAATTTGATCATCTTTGGATAGGGAAAATCTTTATACCAAGACAAAAAAATAAATGCATGAAACCGTACCTCAATAGCCATGCAGCCACCTTGACCCATATTTGGCTGCATCGCATGGACAGAATCTCCAAGCAATGTCACACGACCTTTGCCCCAGCTCATAATTGGTATACGATCATATATATCACGACGAAGAATTTCATCCTCGTCAGTTGCAAGTATTAAGTCTATTACATTATCACACCAACCACTAAATATTTTGAGAAGTCTTTCCCTTTTACCTGTTACATAACCATACTAGATGTTAAATAGATGAACTGTAGAAATTGCTCGTTGTTTTTTTTTTTATCCATGAAGATGTGAAGTTTGGCCACGCTAGCACCGACATGTAAGTGAATACGACTCGGGTTTCAAGTTTGTTATCTGAAATCTACACATCAGTCATTAATCATTTAGATTTTCTTTCCCTTCCAATCATTTTATGGATAAGGTTGGAACAGAACTAAGGAAAACCTAGATGCAGAATATCTACCATTAGGAACATCAGTGCCACCAGGAGGCTCCTTGTGAAATGCATACCACTGCATTTTTCCAGCGCCAACATCCGAAGAAACAAAATACTGCTTGTGACCTAGAAATACTCGATACCTTGACAAAAGAATTACAAGGTAGTAAATAAGCAATCTTAGGCACTAACTCTAATGATTCTGAAGATACTAAGAAACAAGAAACTGCTATCTAAATAAGAAAGAGCTGTTGTGCACTGGAGCCATCAAAGGGAATAAAAAAGGACAAAAATTTCAGCATACCCAACGGTTTCAATATCTGGAGGTACAAAATCTGCAATACCAGTGTAGCAGGTATATCCTGAATAAGATGCCTCTTTGGGCCCAAATAGTATTTTACGCACCTGCATAATTAATAAACAAGAGGTGGTGACAAATTCATCCAACCATGTGAAGAAGTACTGTAAACATACAATATCATACCTTTGACCATATGCCATCAGCTCCAACTAAAAGATCACCTTCATACTGCTGCCCATTCTCAAGTACTACAGTAACCTGGGTCATTAGTAACAAATTAGATTACCTATAATATTAGATAAAGATCCAACAAGAAGGAAAACCAACCTTGTCTCCATTATCAACATAATTGACAACATTACTGTCATTCAAAATCTTGTCATCACCAACTGCACGGGCCAATATTTGCTGTAGGGTCATGCGACTGATAACTCTTGTGACCGGAAGTCCACGCTCTGCTGCAGGAGTAAATGTATCAAATTTGATGTACCTGAATTTTGAACCAAAGTCAATGGTTCATGTATCAACAAAATTCTTATTATGCAACTGTACACAGGAACCTAAAAGCTAGTCAAGAAATTTGGCTTTAAGTTTACCTGAAAAAGCATTTTTAACAATTTCTCTTTATTATGTCCATCTTAATGCGACAAGATATAATCAAACATTGTAAACATGAGACATCAAAATGTAGTTAATTTGCACCCATGAATGATGACTCTGAAGAGACTTGACGATATTATTAATTAGTGAGGCAGCCAAAAGCATCTCAAAGTACAAGAATGGCAATCCTTCAAATGATAATCTAGTTTATTACCTAGGAATGGTAAGACATGATAGATGTCCTGCTTAGATGAGGTGAGTCAATTAGAATTAGTGGTGCAACATGAGATAGAGAGATCTGTACTTTTATCAAGGTTATTACCTTACACAAAGCTCAATGGTGGAAACAGGTTCATGTAGCCAACACCAAATAGTTGAGACAGTATGACGTGTCGTTGTCGTGATATACACATTATCAACGAGTTCGGGGAAAAGAAAGGGCATAGTTGAAGCCAAAAGTACTTGAGGTGATTGGCACTATTCTTAAACCACCTCCATTTTAGTAGCGTTATTCTCAATTGTCTTCACCCATGTACAGAGGCCTGTTGTGTGTTCTATCTGATTACATGCTATATTTTGCTCCTCTCTGTTATATTATGTCCGTTGGTGTCAGCCCTTAGTCTTGTCTACTCCAGAAGTATCTTATTGGCTTCTCATATCCAGGCTTGATAACTTCCAAGCAAACCAACTTTCCAAGAGCATGGATACGAGAAGAAGCTAGCTAGTCCATGGATATTTCCATATCTAGGATATCTAGTTTCACCAAACAATCATCTGACAAATTCTCTTCCTCAAGATCGATTATTCAAGTAGTCCAAATCAACGGTAACATACTTGACCAGAAATCATCTGTAATACAACGGAACAAAATTTTCACTCCATCTAGAAAGGCCCAACACAATGTGGAACTTAACCTTTGAACTCAGAGAAGTGTGACTTATGTTGCACATCTCCTAAAGAGCCTTGGAAACAAGGGTCCCCTAAGATTTCGAAAGTAGAGAGGCAGTCCTTTCTATAGATAAGGGGCCCTGATTTGCTTTGAATTCTTGAACAATAAGAAAGAGAAACAGAAGAGGGAGAGAGAGATAGAAAGAGGGAAAGTCCCTCCAAATATGTGGTCCATAAATGTCTAACCAAAGTGGAGAATGTTAGGAGAACATGACTTATATTGTCATGCCTTCTAATTCCATCACTTCTTTGCTTGACTTCTGAAGATCAAAGAAACTGCAATGATCAATCCCAAAACTGGTGAAATTTTCGATAATTGCTCGGGCCTATCAGCTTAGTGTATGGACATGTTGGGTTCCTTGGTATGGCAAGCATGCAGCACAGAACAGCTAAAGGCATCCCCACATCTGTTATTGCCTGAAACTTCCATGTCTTAAATGTCAATACAGCTACTAACCCATCAAGTGAGGCCACCTTAATCAACATAGTTAACCATGAAAGTTGCTCTGCTTACATCAATCTACTGTGAAGAAATATCAGTCTCCTTCCTTTTTCCCCAAAAAACGAAACCAAAAGAAGATTAGGTGAAGTGCCTGGTTAGCTAGGAAACAACTACAAATAGCATGAACGCACAATAAATTGATTGCTTGAATTAATGTTTCTATAATAGTTGTACCTACATATGCATCATAAAATGCGTCGGTTGACATCACAAATTAAGCATACATCTGATTGCAGCCAAAAACTACGTAAAGGAAATAATGAACTCAGGACAAATGTCACTCGATTTCACTCCAAAGAGTAAATGGAAACAGCGAGGCCATAAAGAAAACTCAACCGGGAACTAAGAAAAAGTAAAGAGACAGAGCAAGAACACGCACCAGTTCCCAGATATCCCATCCACCAAACCATTGATCCGGTCCCCGGTGATGCACCCAGCCTTCATCACCTCCTCCGCGACATCCATGTCGATGGCCTCCAACGCCGCCAGCGCATTGCTCTGGATCTGGATCGGCCCCCTGTACTGCCCCTCCCCTCTGATGGCACTCAGGTCCTTCTCGAAGACCATCACATCAAACCCCTTCCTCTTCGCCGCCAGCGCGAACACCAGCCCCCCAATTCCGCCACCGGCTACCAGAATCCTCAGCTTCCGCGGAGCCGGCACCGGCGCCGGCTCGGAATCCGCGGTAGCCGCAGCAGACTGAGCACCACTTGCAGACACAGTCATGGTTGCACACCTCCGCCTACACTTGCAACTGTGGAGACCATGACCAACGGAATGTGAGGAGTCTTCGGAGAAGAAGCCACGAGCCAAGGACGGGAATTGGGTCTTGGGAAAGGGGATCGGGGGAGAATGGAGCGGAGCACTGTACAACAGTGCCATTAAGACGCTGCAGCCGGTGCGTTGCGGGTGAAGAAAGCGTGGCTACCAGCGCAACAATCGTAGCGTTTAAACCAAATAGATCGGGAGGATTTTATTGATGAGATGTGGCGGAGATGGATCGTGGGAGGGAGATGACAATCTATCCATAGATTTGACGCGCCACTCGTTTGGCCACTGAGGTGTTGGGATTGGCAACGTGGCACGATGCGGTCAGTTGGCTAGCGGGAGAGGGGGTGTTCTGCTGCCACATGGTGCGTGTGGTGGTGCGGACAACCCCGAGTGGGTCGGGCGGGTGGAAGAGGGTTGGACGAGTGGATGTTGTACTCACTTTTCCTCCGTGCCAAGGGGATATTTGGCTCCCGTAAATTTATTGTGGCGCGTGATGAGATGCGTGCTATTAATTTTCTTGGTGAGTGCTTCGTTGCGTTAACGCACACGATTCTTACTGCCGTGGACTGAGTCACCTCCACGTTTCCATTTTTAGGTGCGGAGTTGACCGGTAGAATGACCGACCAGAGAAGGGAAAGAGGATAGGGATGTAAATTTGTTAGGCGGTGACTTAAACGGGTCTAAATTTCTACATTTGTTTTTTTTATTCAAAAAAGTAAAAATTAAACTTTACTTTTTCAAAAAAGAAATAAAAAAAACTCAACTTTGGTAAAGTGCGTTCGATCCTCCATAAGTAAATACCAAAGCCCATAAAACTGCACTACAAGTAGGAGATGTATATCCATGTAAAATATATAGTTGCATGATTTGATAGAACCAAAAAATACATCATCCAACAGCCAGTATATATGTGAAACAATTGCTGGCGATCCAGAAGAAACTCCGAGCAAGAAGAAGATGCCGAAGCTTGCTTCCGAGTCACTCGAGCTTGTTGCTCGGAGGTGAAGCCCCCAGTCTGGTGCAGTTGACGTAGTCTTGAGGTGTGTGTGGTGTAAGACCAGGAGCGACGAGAGCAAGAAGTCTCATAGATGTCATGAACCATCCTTCCTTGTAATCTTGCCCTATCACGTGCCCGATCAAGAAGCTCCGGATGAACTCCCACCATGCGTTCATGTACTTGGGGATGACTGTCCACAACGAGAAATAGTTCTTGTTCGGCTCCTCTTTCACCACCTTTCCCTTGTAGAGACTGTTGAAGTAGATGCATGTCCCAAAGTGCTTGAACAGGAGAGCAGAGTCATCGTAGGGAACCCTTGGCACGATGTCATTGCAGTACACATACCTAAAGTACCTCTTCTTTGGCTTGTCCAAGTGCTGCTCCACGAACTCCCCGAACTTGACATCTCCCACCCTGGGCTGCCCAAATGTATACACTCCCTCCAGCCTACCCAACAGCCACTCCTCCCCATGCAGTGCCAAGATGGACGGGAACAGTATCGCAAGTGCCCCTCCTAAGCTGTGCCCGGTGACCAAGAACTTTGCCTTCTCCTTATGGCGCAGCACTTCCCTGAGCTTCTCCCTCAAGTCGTAGTAAGCATATGACGGTCTGTCTCTACTCTGAGGTAGGTCCTTGGGAAACCCAAGTTTCTTCTGCAATCCCAACTCCTTCATGAAGCCTCCATGGACCTTGCCAACGTTTGGTATCTCGTACCAGGAGAAGTCGAAGTCCGCGCACCATTGAACGGCGTCGAAGGGCTCGGTGCCTCGAAATGCCACCACGATCAGCTCGGTGTCGGCTGCCTTGTCATTGAACACAAATGCTTCTGAGCTGTACTGCTCCTGGTAGTCTGTAGCATTGCATTGCAGCATGTTCTATTAGAATCATAGGCAAGTGATATTGATGGATAGTAGCCGCATGCATGCATGCATGCTGCAACAGATCCAAAAGATTACTGGGCGAAGTAAATGATTATTTTTCGTCGGTCGATCAGTCTTACCATTCCAACCATCGTAGAATCCCAAGTACTCCATCTGCAGACAAGATCAAGGATTTGAACATCATCATATAAGCCTTTGATGATGAGATAATTCTTTCAGATGGTAATGAGCTATATAATTGAATTCTGCATGCAGTATTCAGAGAGCAGAACAAGAAGAAGCTTACATTCCAGTGGTTAGTAACTATGTTTTGGATGCATGATTCATTTTCGTAAGCTAGTTTTGCAGCCATTATTGAGAGTGCTGCGTGATACTTCCCGTCGCTCGGTTGAATTCTCGCGTCTAATTCCTCTCTCGTGTCCATTTGTCCAATACATGATCTATATGCTGATGATTCTTTCTGGGGATACGCCACTTTTCCTGAAGAGAACGAAGCCTTCTTTTGTTTCATTTTTTGTGGAATAAATTGGAGAAATTTAATCTGTTTCTATTTCTGAGAAGTAAATAAGAAACATAAAGAAGCAGAATCAAAATACACAGCAAAAGGCAAATAATAAAGCCTTAGAATATGTTAATCCTCTAAAATTATGATTGGTTCGAAAAAGGAACGAGAACAGTATCACGTCTCGTTCATCTCGAATGCTTTCGATTCCTTTAAGAAACGCCATTAATGATGATAACTTAAAGAAGTCTTATACTAAATTATCAGAAAAAATTCTCCCAGATTCGTCTGCCCCTCTAAATTCTCCGTTCCACGCATCATCTGGCAGATTGGAAATAGAATGCCTATTTCTGATCTAGCTTAAATTTCTTGAGTTGAAGCTCTTTACACTTGTGCTTGGATTCCATAATAGGATGAGCTATTCCCTTCATTTTTATCATTTTAGAAAGAATTAATTATTCTTGCGATGAATTCTCAACCAAAACATCAATACTGCGAGGAATAACTCTTCTTGTTCTTTTCCTTATAATGTATACTTGAATAAGACTATGATATGATGTGTAAGCTAGTCAAAAAATAAAATATTTTTATTTAAAGAAATATTGATTTTGCAGTCAATATTTCTTTTACAATTTACAGAAATTTAAAATTTAGTTTGTAATTTTCTATATAATTGCATTTAAGCTCTCACTAATTACTATTCATCACAGAGACTCAAATAAAATAACCCAAATCATGTAATCGATTAAAAAATCCTAAAAATATTTTCTATGCTTTCTTAGTTGCAACAAAGCACCATCTTTTAATTCAATCATGTCCAAAATTCCATTTCCATACAAAAAGAAAGATATGAGGAAGAAAATGGTGAAAAATAGGAGGTAAAAATCAGAAGAATGCCAAGTGTAATCCTATGCAAAAGCAATTAGAATACAGAAAGAGGTGGTACGAAATAGCTAAATATAATTATGTAGAATAGACATAAGGTCTGAAATATATAAGCATCAACAAGGAGGTAGAAAGACACATAAGCTTGACTTGGCAAGTTCATCATTGTCAAAGTTTGACACATTCCAATGTTACTTTTCTAACCTAATTAATAAATGCATACAGTGGAAACGTATATATATGTATATATATATGTTAGCATCTTCCATGTCCTTCTTTTCTAATATATGTAATCTATTCATCAAGTCCTATTAGAAGAGATGTATTAGCATTGATCTTGTCATTTTCCCTAAATGTATTGAAAACCCCCTCAGTTGTGAGCTAATAGGATTGACCAAGTCCTATTGAAATTCCAATTCTATTTAGTAGAAGATTAGAACTTCAATGAGAAATCTAAAACACGGAGTGCTCTTTTGAAACTAAGAGAGGAAAATTTTGTTATTTTGAGAGTATCAAATTGTTCTAAATAATTTATTTGGAAATAATAGGATCGATACTGACCGTAGTAGGAAACATATATTTTCATCTTTAGATTTGATACATCTACAAACACATTCATCTAATCTGTGGAAGGATGCTCTATTATCTTGTCGATCTGGTCATCTTTCACCATTGTATGGATAGGACAAATTCATATGGAGTACGCATTGCAGATATATGTACTGCTGCTAACACAAATCCTATGTGAGCGGGCATGGATACTACTCACCTGTGAAGATATTACACAAGAGCGAGACGAATCCATGGTTGTCCATCAGAAGGTTTAGCCAGAACTCAAGTGCAGATCCAAGCCAAGCCATCGGCTTCCTCCACAGGAGAAAAGTCTTCTGCAGGAGGAGAGAGATGAAGATAGCCCACCTTCGCCTCCTTTCGTTGATCTGGGTGTCGACGGGGCAGTCCACCGATTCATTCTCCGCCACCTTCGATGAATACAAGAGGCGGAAGAGATCAGAAACGCCTGCCTTGTCGGGCCTCAACACCATATAATCGCTGAAACCATCACACTCGGAGGCCATGAAGAGCAAAGGAGAGTTCTCGACCTCTTAAGCTTAAAGGCTTATGTGAAGAGGATGCAGAATATATTCGCGCTGGTGATGGATAATCTTTGTTTGGATCCGCGTGTTTTAGGTCCAGTCTTGCACGCAGCCTTTAAAGAAAAGCTTAGCAGTAGCTTCGTCGTAAAGAGAAAGCTCGAGAGATTCTTGGGAGGGATCGACTTCTCCGCATGCACCATTTTCCATTGGCCAGATCAGCTCGAACTGCTTTGATTAGGCAACCATTGTCTCAGCATAGATTAGTTCGAGCATTGACATAGTTAATTAACTTCCAATATAAATATCTCTGTTCCATCATGCGGTCACCTTTGTAGGAAAGTTCCCTGCACTGACTTGATCAGATGCCAATAAAATAAACAGGCATGGAGTAATTAATAACATCACCCACTAAGGTGTTAATGGCGTGATGGTATGGGAGAGGAAGGAGTAATATTTCTTTTCATTCCCAATTTAATGAAGGGGTTGGTTTTTGATGTTGGAAGTAGGTGGAACAACCAATTATTTCTAGTTGATGACTCATTCTATAGAGAAAAAAAAATCATTGGGTGGAATATTTATCGGTATGACTTTAATACCAACACCGATTTAACCTAAAAATTTAATCTATTATGGGTTGGTCACTCGACTCTCGAGATATTTATCAGTGTTAGATTATTCTTTTAATCCTTTTTTCGATCTCTCGTGAATTTTTTTAAAGATAAACTAGTATGTAATAAATTATATATCCAAGCTGATAATCTCGAATTCCCTACAACAAATGTATAAAATAAAATTTTAAACACAGATGTGAAGAGAATCAAAAGTTTTGTATAGTTGACCTAATCTCATCATATTTATCATAGCTTTATATTATGTTTTTGAATCAAATAAAAAATAGTTGACCTAATCAAAACTTAATATGCCAAAATCTGAATAGTTGATCTCAAATTCGTTTACAGGTTTGCCCTATTCAAAATGCATGAAGGTGCTTAATAAAGATGTAATGTCTGCTAATGTCATACAAGAGCTTAATATAAAGTTTGGCAACCTTGTCTCCACCAGGATTTATCGTCTCATCCTGTACTTTAAGATGATCCGGAAAGAAGGAAGAAGTTGCGTGTTTCCATGGTGTTGTTTTTTCTGCTCATGTTCTATGTCTTCTCTTCTTCCTTCCCTGTTTCCTTGACTAGTAGTGTGTGTCGTGTGGACGAGTTAAACTTTACGTGAAATATATTTCCATTTGGGAATTAGGTACAGTCTCTCTGTCAACTTTAAGGGCCGAGCAAGCAAACCCGTGGGTTCCTCCACGAGAAAAGATGTCGATGAGAATTACCAGGCCATCAAGGATGATCAGGACAGCCATTTGAGCGTTCTAATGGAAGATAAAGTTGACCTTGGAGCAGCCACAAATGCAAGGAGTTGGCTGTTAACTTGGATTGATTCACAGGCTACAAGTGCCTGTACCCATCGGATGTTTCAGTAGAGCTCTTCTTGAGTAAGAAACAGCGGGAGGAACACATTAACTCCTCCAAACGCCACCGTACTATCAGCTCCGTTCTTATTGAATACAAACGCATATGCGTTGTGTGCCGTAGTGCTTTCGGTGTTCTGCACCGGGGAACGAGGAACACATTCGAAAGCATCTATTCTGTAGCGTGGAACGAGGAACACGTTCCAAGCAGCTTCATTGATAAATTTAATGACTGTTTGCTGTGGGGGAAGAAGAGAATTCAATGGCTTCTAGCTTTAGCAAAACGTGAAAAAATTTCAACGGTTATACTAACAAGTTTTAAAAGCGATTCTATCTAATTAAATAAAATATATTATAAATTTATTAGATTTTGATTATGATTATGATTATTAACTAATAAAAAAATTAATTATATTAGGATCTTTTTTTAAGAGATTATGATAGGAAGAATTCTCCTAATTATTATACTATATCCTCTGTTTTTATCTATAAAAAATCTTCCTTGTTCCCTATTTCATCGCTCATAGTGGTCATGTGAAGGATAAAAAGAGGGAGAATATAAGTTTAGTTTTCGTTACAAATCAATATCACTGTAGTTATCGAATCCTACGACAATGAGTTTATAGATCAAATAAATTTTTTTTACATGGTATTGAAAGGTACACAATCCTGATCTTAATCTATCATTATTTGATTTCGATTTCAATATTAAATTTTTTTATATAGCAATAACATATTATAGCTTTTATACTTATAATTGGTATCAGAACCATGTTTTAAAATTAAATATCTTAGATCCAAAAGTATGTCAAGTTTACTTTGTATTTAAATCTATTTATTAGTACTCCTTCACTTGTGAAAAGATATTATTTAATTTTAATTATATGATATTTAAATGATTCGTTTGTGTTGTCGATTTGTTTTCCTTTATCTTGTCTGTTCTGTCGCTTACTTGCAGGCATATGACTATATTATTGCTTGCAGGTATCGACTGGATACCGAAGGTCACGATTCCTAGTGGCTACATAGTGGACACATGAGCATAGCCATGCGATGGAATACCATGGTGACCAATAAGGTCATCAATCAATGCGTAAGGTGGTGGAATAATGTAACAACTATAGGGTCGCTAATTGGTCGTGTGAAAAAAATCCCGTGCCATAATAACCATAAGTGACGCATAGATGGAAAATAATTATGCACTGCAATGACTTAGAAAAAAAAATAGAGTTTCACCCATTAAAATTTTATTTTACCCTTATAAATTATTTTAATTATTATCGATATCCTTGACAACTATTCCTTTCAATAAATTAGATATTTCAACTATATCTCGACAAAAATATAGTTTTACTCATAAAAAATAAATATTTCTAATTTATGTCCTCAACTATAAAATTAATTAATTTGATATGTTTTAATAAAATATTTTGATTGGACTTGATTTTAACTATATTTTAACTACTTAACGAGATTGAGATTTGATCAATCTTGTTTTAATCGAATTTGAAAAAAAATTAAAATTTGACTTTGGACAACTTTAGTTTGATTGATCTAGTTGGGTTAATATTTAGCTCAAATTTGAGCTTATCCAATTAAATAAAGTTGACTGATCTAATCTAGGATTCTATATGAAATTTAAAAATATAAATTATTAATTTTTATAGTTTTCTCATATGATATATTAATAAATTTTTAATTACAATAATTAAATTCTAATTATTGCTTTGGATATTTGTTTAGTTATTCATATACATATAAAATTCTGAAATAATATTTATTTTCACAATAAGATATGATTTATGTTTTATTATTATTACAGTTATTATATAATTTTTTATTGATTAATATTTACTAATTATTATTTTATTATAATTGAATTGCTTAAGGATAAATAATATTAAAAGATATTTAGTAAATATTATTTTTAACTTATATCCTAAGTTTTATATGATTAGTAGTTGCCAAAGTGGTTGAAGATGATAGGCCCATAGGATATAAATTAAATAAATATTTTACCATTTATAAGATATTTTAAATTATATTTTATATTATTATATTAGTCTTGTAATCATCAAAATAGCCTAAACTAATAACTTATAAAATTATATTAAATAATTAATCTCAAATAATATGAAAAATAATAATATTCATAATATCATATATAATTAAAAGATTTAGATAATTCCAAAGAAGAATCTACTTCAAATAATTATATGATAGGGTAAGATAATATATTTTTGTATTCTCTAATTCAAATTATCTAGAATAGTTAGAATATATATAATTTACACTAGCTATATTAGATCTTGATTTAACACTACTTATTAAAAAATTCATAAATTTGATTGACAAAAATATTATAGAATAAATTAATAAAATGAATGTTTATGAAAGATCTAATTGGCTCAGTCTAATATTTATAAGAATAATAATTATAAATAATATAAAATCTTCATTACCACTTGTAACTAGCACATAAGAATATTAGAGGATGTAGAAGATAAATTTAAATATACTGATAAATCTTTAGCTGGTATATTAATAAAGGTATGATGACACTACAATTTCAAATCTTATGGCCATGGCTTAGAATGGTAACACTAAGAGATTCAATATAACATCCTCAGTATGATTGACAATGATGTAAACTTAAAGCATTAGATATAATTATAGATAAACCTTTCCTTTTATAGTTCATTATTAGTTCTATTCCTCCTCAATTTGACCTATTCAATATTCAATATAATATTAATAAGGATAGAACCGACTAATAAGTATGTTCAAATACAATTAAGATTAAGATAATAAAGATCTTATAATTTTTTACTATTACTCAAGGAGTTGATAATAAAACAAGAAAGTTAAAGTATCATTCACCAAATAAATTTATCGAGTTTAAAAATATTAAATAGACTATTGAAAAATAATTATAGTAAAGTATTTTTTTATGACAAGAAAGGACATATAAAAGGATTATATTAAATACAAGACTTGATTTGAAAATAAATATATAAACTTCATATTTGTATATTTTGAATCAAATATTATAGAGGTTCTTCTAATATTTAGTGGATTGATTCTGATGCTTCAACTCATGTTATCAATAATATATAATTTTTTAATTAAAAATAATAAAAATTTGATTTTATTACCCTAATCATAATACCAGGATAGTAGAATTTAGTAATATAAGATTCTTAGAAAATAATGAAATAAGTGAGAATAAAAATTTTAAAAATTAATTTTGATATATAGGAGATATGAGTTGACACTCATTTATCATTTTCTATTTGAGAAGTTATTGTTTCTTAGATCATTAAAAGAGTTAATAAGAGTGAACAATAAAATAATATTGATGAACTCCCACGTGATGTTGATATTATAACTAGTGATCTTATAGAATAACCATAATAAATAATTTTAAAAAGATCTCAAAAGAAATATAGACTTATAATTTTTTATGATTATTTGGTATATCTACAAAAATTAGATTATAATATATAAATCAAAAGAGATCCCTTATCATTTTCATAAACCATTAAAAATAATAATTTAAAAAATGATACGATATAATTAAATAAGAGTTAAAGCCAATAGATTAGAATGGTGTTTAGAAACTCAATGAATTATTTAATAATTTTTAAAAAGTTAGTTGTAAATAGGTCTTTAAGATAAAACGTGACTTAAGGGATAATATCGAATGATATAAAGCTATATTTGTAGTCAAATTTTTTTTAGAAAAAAAACATCGACTATAACAAGACATATTCTCTAATTTCTAAAAAAAACTCATTAATGATCATCATGACATTAATAGCTCATCATAATCTAGAATTACATCAAATGAATATAAAAAAATTTCTAAATGAGGATTTATATAAGGAAATTTACATTTAATAACATAAAGGATTCATAAAACAGGAAAAAAAAAAGTTAGGCTTGTAAATTTAAGAAATCCATTTATAATCTTAAACAAGTTTCTAAATAATGGTATATAAAGTTTTATTAGATCATTACTTTCTTCGAAAAAATATTATTAATCAATATATATATCTAAAGGTAAGTGAGAATAAGTTTATTATATTAATCTTCGATGTGGATAATATTTTGCTTACTAGCAGTGATATTAGTTTATTGTATGAAATTAAGATATTTTTTATTAAGAATTTTAAGATGATTGATATATATAAGGCAACTTATGTTATTAGAATTATGATACTCCACAATAGTTCTCAAAGATTGCTAGGACTATCTTTGAAATGATAACAAGTACTCTAGTGGTTTTAAGCATATCAAGATAAAGTATTTGATGATTAGAAAAAGAATCTAAAAATAATAAGTGTTAATTGAGAACTCAAGATAAAGTATTTGATGATTAGAAAAAGAATCTAAAAATAATAAGTGTTATTTGATGATTGTTGATTCATTTACTAAAATTTTATAACCTAATATGTTAAAGTACATATTCTTACAATAAGACTTATGAGTAAATCATAAAAGATATTATGATGCATATTTAGGTAGTACTATTATTGATATTTTTCTTATTTAATTAAAATTATTTATTTTGCCTATCATATTTATATTGATATTTACGCATATTATAGTTGAATATGATAATACGATTATCTTAATAAGATAAATTATAAAAGTAATTATAGATTATATTAAGAAAGACTAATAATATTGTGGTATATATAAATGAGTATGACATTAATGACATACAATCGTTATGACTCACATTGATAGTTAGACTTATTATAATATTATTATATTTATTAGAGTTATTGACTTGTTTTAAAAATTCATGGTTATGTATAAAATTTTTTCAAAATTTTAGAATCCAATTAGGTAAAATTATTTTTTAAATAAAATTTTATTCTATTTTTTATATTTTACTAATTAATAGAGCAAGTGATAGGATGTTAGATTTTATGATCATATCTAATTAGATAAGATATATTATAGATCTAATTAGATTTTAATTATGATTATCGATCGATAAAAAATAAGTTTGATTATTATATGATTTCTTAGGATATAATAAGGATAGAGAGACTCTTAATTATCATCGTAAGCTCTCTAATCCGCATGTGTATTGTGTGGTGAAGTACTTTCAATGACTTCTAGTTTTAGTAAAATGTTAGATAAGTTAAATGGTGATAGAATAATAGTTATATTGACAAGTTAAAGGTTTTTTAATTAAATGATCTTATCTAATTAAGTAAAATACATTATAGATTTGATTGGATTTTATTTATGATTATCAGATAATAGAAAAATCTAATTATAGAATTCTTTAAGAGATAATTTTGATGAGAAAGACTCACCTAATTAATATCCTAGTTCGGGATAAAACGTCAGAAATTAAGATTATAGATCTATTATCAAATTTTTAAAGTTTATATATTTATAGATTAGTTAAAGATTTACCAAATGACAAAGGTACATGATATTTCATCTATTGCTATTTAATTTTAATTTTAATATTAAATTTTTTATATAATAATAACATAATTATAATGTTTATGTTTACAAAAAAAATAATTTTTCTTACGTGACAACCACTACTACCAACATTTTCAACATACACGATAGCAAAAGCCTAGAAGATTTTCTTTAGCTAGCTTGCGGGATGGAAGTGGTGCGGCATGAGCTGTGGTGTCTGCTTCCACTCTCATGATAGAATAATGACAGTTTAATGACTTGTAGTTTCACGAAAATGTTAGATAAGTTAAATGGTGATAGAATAATAGATATGTTGCCAAGTTAAAGGTTTTTTAATTAAGTGATCTTATCTAATTAAGTAAAATATATTATAGATTTGATTATAATTATCAGATAATAAAATTAATTTAATGATAGAATAATAGATATGTTGCCAATTTAAAGGTTTTTTAATTAAGTGATCTTATCTAATTAAACAAAATATATTATAGATTTGATTAAATTTTGATTATAATTATCAGATAATAAAATCAATTTAATGATAGGATTTTATAGGAGATGATCTTGATGGGAAAGACTCACCTAATTACCATCCTAGCCTAGGATAAAATGTCATAAATTAAGATTAAAGATATATTCTCAAAATTTTTGATTTTACTATGATGTATTTATACATTAGATAAAGATTTACCAAATGAAAAAGGTACATAATCTTGATATTCATCTATTATTATTTAGTTTTAAATTTAATATTAAAAATTTATATAATAATAATATAAATATAATATTTATGTTTACAAAAATTAATTTTTCACAACCACTACTACCAACATTTTCAACATACACGATAGAAAAAGCCTCAAAGATTTTCTTTAGCTAGCTTGCGAGCATGGACATGGTGCGGCATGAGCTGTGGTGTCTGCTTCCACTCTCATGACAGGAAGTCAAACATCTGATCATTACGTAGACGAACCTTGTGCAACATTTCCTGAAGAGAAGGAATCATCAGCCTCTGCCCGTGACGTTTTTATATCTATTTTGTCTCTGTCTTGTTATTTATCAATTATTGAGGAAGGTTTTATAAAATACACAAATGGGTTGAGGAGGCCAACTTTTTTTGAACTTTATTATTTGTTCTTTTGGAAAACCCGAATGAATCAAACATTCTTAAGCAACTTCTCCAAATATATTAGAACCTAGAAGAAAAGGCAATAAGCCATGCATGCCAATATCTCTCTCTATAAATCTCAAAACAACATAGATTGATAAATACGTTTTACTTTTTTATAAATAAATAAAATAATTTGACGATGAATCTTTGACGCCGATGATAACATTTCCCTGTCACGAAGTGAATGATTAGAGTCCAAATCATAGATACAATGTCTCATATTGTAAGGTAAAATTGCAATGTATTATAGCCTAATACACTGTCGTTAATAGAAAGAAAGTTACATCAAACAATATAACATACTACTTTCCACCCTCAATCTTTAAGCTAACTTTCAAGTTTAAGAAGAAGATCAGAATTGCTTTACCAGGATTTTTTATATGACTATAAAAATATTTGTGTTCCTACGGAAATCCATCTTTTCGGCTAAAGAAACACTACTGCATGGGAACCATAAGTTGCTAAATACATGAGAAACATATTTGCTTAGCAAACCTTATAACGAAAACAGATTACAAAGGTTGGGAAATGGAAGTAAACATCACCTGTTCTAGCAACTCTTCGCAGGTCAAGGTTACAAAGACCTCGTGCTCCATCTTATTTCTCACTAATCCTTGCTTTGGCTATGATTTGAAAAGCCACCTTAACATGTTTAAATTTCTCAGGCTAAGAGATGGAAAATCAAAAGCAAGCAAAGGGTTGTTCTTTTAAAGAATTACACTTCCGTATGAAGTGGATTAATTTCAGAAACATATATCAAGCAGCAGATTTCAGCTCAGCAAGCTCTGGAGAGGAAGCAGCGGCAGGGGCAACTCCACCAGTTGTAGGACTGCAGAAAAAGAATTTTTAGGAAAAAATAATTGAAAAAGAGGAACTAATACCATAGGATTTTCATGGTAGTAATGTATAAAAGAAGTAACTTACAGGCCAACCATCACTTTGAAAGCATCATAAATTCCCCACTGTGCTCCAGTAAGTGTGCCAATCATGACGATACGCAGTGGAAGCCCACGTGTAAACAGACCCCACACCCCAAGTTTCTTCACAGCCTGATTGAAGAAAATGAAGAGATCAGTAAATGTTGAAAATAAACATGTCGGGTTTTTAATGTCTCCAACATCAGACTACCAGAAGTGGAGTCCTTCACAAGATGATGACAATCCATCATGTATACATACTAGGAGGAAAGAGTCACAGGATCCAGCAAATAATGCAAGACTTACATCACCAACAGTGGCACCCTTAGCATTGTTAAGAAAAGAGACAAGGTTGTCAGCCGGGTGGGAAACAATAGCACAGAATACTCCAGCAATATAACCACCAGCAAAACTCACTCCCAACTGGAGTTGTTTGCTACATTGGTCCTTTGGTGTTGGAATTGCATATTTGTAAACCATCTCAACAACAGTCTCAAATGAAGCAAATTTCATCATAGTATCTGCATAAGCAATTCAAGTTTATGTTTGCAATTAGAAACACTTCATAACCCTTACATTAGATAATTGAAAAAAATAAATCAAAAGATAATACCACTTATTCTTTCATTATTACTATCAAACTTCTATCATTATTTTGATAATAAAATGAACCAATGCACAGCACCAAAAAAGAGGAAGTTAAACTTGACTTCCCCTTTAAAGTTATATCACATACATCTGAACTATGAAAAATAAACTGATTTTGCAGCAGCCACATCAACAGTTTTCAGCAAAACACAAGATGCCAGTTCATCATTTCCTTAGTCAAAATATTTCTGCTTCCAGTTGGTGAGAAAAATCAATCTATAGAAAATATAACTAATATTCTCTCATTCCAGCAAGGAACACATATGAAAGGATATGAAGTTAAGCAAGATTCAAGTCGTGTCGTCTATAATTTAACTATGACCCCAAACTTGAAAAGCATGAGCAAGAGAACTTTGCAGAGGATGCCAAATATATGCCACTAGAAATGAGTTGAATAAAGATTCCAGCAATTGGTCAGACATCATAAGACCAAGTTTCCAGAAACTACTCAGATAGATTGATTAATGAATAATAAAAAAATGGAGATATAAAAAATGACTACGTACATTGTTTTCTTTACTTATTTATAATGGATAATTCAGGAGTTTATCATGCTTCCCACTTTTCAAAGCAAACCATCTTATAAGCTTGTATGTTTGGTAAACTAGCAATCACAAAAATTGTACTCTTTATGAAAATGGTTCTTTAGAAGTAGCTACGAAAGACAAACATCTCCTACTCTTTTGAGCAAAACAAATATTGTTGTAATTATACTCCAAAATATCTATTAATATGTTCACACACACACATGTATTATATAAGAACGCAAATGCGGTAGTCTCAGTAAAATCTCATATCTCAAGTAACTACATTTGCAGACCATTTGACAACAAAATATCAAGGTTGCCCCACTATGAAAGTTATCCTGGCTTTGTCTCTGGAAACACGATGATAGCATCATCATACAGAGAGATTAAAAATAGAAAAAAAAAGAAATGGAAAATAGTCTGAAGTTTCAATGTATACAAACCTAACACATCAGTTCCCTTTTTCTGAAGCAAGTAAATGTGGTTTGAAAATAAGACAAGCAGCTGACAATGAAGTTAGAGACAAAATAAAAGGATGTTAGAAAGAAAATATAGATAACATATTCATACCATGTTCACATTTCCCCTAAAGAAATGTAGATCCTCTTAGCAACATAGCAATTACTTACAAGCATACAAACAAGAATAACATCATTATATTATGATATTACATGATAAGAAAAGTTATTCCACTGAAAATACACATTTCTAATAAGATAAGCAGCACAACTCTAGTATTTAACAAAGTGTCATAGATTATGATGATGTCCAGAAGATAACTCTAAGTGATCTATAATGTAATTCACACATCAAATTTAAACTTTTAGTTTCATGGATTTAGCATATTTTTGTACTATGATAGTCAAATATAAATACAACAAAAAGCAACAAGAACGACAGCAAAATCCGTCCAACTATTTGGGTTAACTACCCATACTTCTCATGTATCTGGAAACATGGATCACAAAAGTAATTACAACAATATATTGATCACCTGGCAATAACATGGTAGCAGATAAGAAGAATTACTTACAAGGAATCTGACGCCCCCAGAGAGGAACAATTCCCTTGTACAATCTACAAAGCAGAACATCAGAGACTAGTCAATTCAGAATCACAAAAAAATTTCAAACAACAATCTAATACATAAGCAAAAGGAAGAAAGAAAAGAGAAGATACATACCCCAGAGCACCTTCAGATTTGACGAACCTAGGTAACCCATCGCTCAACCCCCTAGCAAACCCTGGTTGTGTCTGTACTCGCACCTTCACTGCCTCAAAGGGGCAGAGAGCTACATCAGCAATCACTTCAGCAGATGCTGACCCCGCAAGATAGATAAGAGTCTTATACTTTGCAGCAAATTCAGGCCCAGCAATATCTGAATAGTACTTCTTGAAGTACTCGTAGAACCCAAACTTGCATGCCCCCTGGGCACTGTATCCAAGCAGTGTAGGCACCCAGCCCCTGAAGAAACCTCTGAACCCTTGTTCTTTAAGCAAAACACCAAAACCAGAAGAGATGCTCTTGTACTTTGCTGGGTCGATCTGAAATTTCAAACAAGCATTCATCATCAAATAGATATATCCATTATTAATTACATTCTAAAGTTGAAACTAGTAGATCAGAGACCAAAGGGTCGAATCGGCATTTACTCATGGACGGTCTCTGTGGTCATCAAACAACCCATTGAACACAAATTTCAAATCAGAGATCAACCAAGAAGCTCAAGCAGCATCCTAGAAACAGGAACTCACGAAGAAGATAAGTCGCATCGAAAACCACAATGAAAGGGTTACCAAAGTCCTTTCAACTTATTCCTTTGATGTATGAATTAACACATATTATCTGAAAATAGATCCACGAACCAGAAACCTAAGTTCCAAAACCAAATTACATATTAAACATGACATAGGACTTTGCATACTGATCAACTCAAAAGGGAAGCAAATCCGTAATGATGGCCAAAGCATACAAGGAAGAATCTGGCAACAAAAGAGAAATGTCAGTAAAACCTAGGTCGACAATCATAATAAGCAAAGGAAAAGACTGAATTACATGAAATAGCCAATATAAAAACATCCAAGAATTCTACTGAACCAGATCCTTTTGGCCGCCATGAACCACAGGATCTGCGACTTAAACCCCGGATCTACACGCCAAATGATACAGCCCAGGACCTCACCTGCATGTTGCACTTAACGAGGTCGAGCGGAGTGACGGCCGTGTGAGTGAGGCCGCAGCTGGCAATCCCACCGGCGGTGCAGGCGGCGTAGAACATGGGCGAGTACATCTCGATCTTCCCGGGCTCGCTCGGCGCCTGGATGACAAACGAGCCTGTCGGAGCGCCCCCGCCGGGCGCCGAGGCGGGAGGGGCTGGCGAGGCGGGGGTGGCCCTCCCAAGGATCTGCTCCAGGCCGAGGGTTCTGGAGGTCGGTGAGGTGGGGGAGTAGAGGAAGCTGGGGAGGACGGATCGGCGAGACTGCTCAGAGAGATCCATCATCGACGCTTAGGGTCTTCTTCAATCGCTCCTCCCGCGACGGGCTTAGGGTTTGTATCGACGAGATTGGACGCAGAAGGGGAGGATGAGAGAAGAGCGTCTTCCCCTCTTTTCTCTCCGGCGGCCTTTATGCACTGAACCGAAGACAGCGGAGCAAAGGCTGCACAAACGGCCGTGATGTGCCATTCTTTGGGGCAGTTTCTATTTCCAGAGCCTCAGATGACGAAAACACCCTCATATTTAATGTTTTCATTTCCTGTAGAATTCCTATACGTCCCACATGCCGGCGCAATGATGTCATAGAGTTACCGGAGAGCCATCACATGTATCCAATGAGATAAAGGTACGAGAGCGAGTGTATTGATAACATGTAAAGAAAGTTGTAAGGTGTTGAGGTGGCCAATAATGGCGCGGCCCAAGTTCCCGAGGTGCTATACCTGCGTGTCAGGCGAGAAAAGTCGTGTCTTCAGTCGTATCACAACGGGGTGACTCGAAGAAGAAGAGCGTTGATATGGGAAAGGAACGAGAACTACTTGACCTACCCATATGATTACTCATTTGTATGCCCTAATTGTGATTGGAAGCAGAAGAAAGGTATTCTTTAGGTAACTTATGGATTGCGACTTTTTAGAATTAAAAAGAAATGAAACCGAGGGAGAGAAGGGTATTCTAGGAAATAAAGACTTGTTAGTACCCAACGACGGATGGTCGCTTTCTTGAAGAGGGCCCAGCGAGTCAGACCAATGCTCTAGCTACTGGTTTAATGGCTCACGGTCACCCGTCTCAGATGCGGGTAAACGACGTTTGGGTAGAGATATATTTTCCGTTGCAAGGTTGGAGCGCCATGTGATCGTTCAACGCCATGTGATATATTTTCCGTCTACGACAATATACTTAAGATCCTTATTTACAAATAATAATAATAATATATATTATTTATATATTTAACTTTTCAATATACTGGATTCTGTATTAATAATTAAATCGTCTTATTCTGTTCCGTTCTTAGTCCGACAATTTATATTCCATTGATCCAAAACAATACTTTATTTTGGCCCATATACGACTGACAATATGTTGGTTTCACTCTTTATATTAATATCCATCCTCATGGTATTAGACAAAGTTGACCATTCTTGGTTTACGCATGGGACTATCATTAACAAAGGGCTGTAACAAACTATCCAAAAATAACGACATGCGTACAAAATAAGATGTCTATGTTTACCTGCATATTATGGCTTGCCACAAGTGGCAATATGATAGCATCGTGTCGGAAGACAAGTGGTGATCTTCACGTCCGACCGACCCTCTACTTGATCGTTAAACCGTGCTGTGTCCACATCTGGGAACAATACAGAAGACCCCGAATTGCACCGATCTTTATGATCCGACACAAGACAAAATACACTAGCAATTTAAAATAGAGTAGAAGCCGTTCGATCGGAATAGTTAAACACGCGTCGACTGTTCGGATCACGCTGGGTGCCTCAATAAAGAAGCAGCAATGCTACCCACGGGCCACAGGCGTCGTTCAAACGAGAGAAGCGAGGCGCAGATGGAGAAGTGGGTGGCGGTAAGTGGCGGAGGAGGAGGGGGCGGGGGTGGAGGCGGGGGGAGGTGGAGTCGGTGGGAGGACATGAACCCGGAGGTGCTGGCGCTAGTGTTCGTGGGGATGCCGGCGGACGTGCTGGCGCGGACGGTTCCGTTCGTGTGCCGGTCGTGGCGGGAGGTGATGGCAGGGCCGTACTGCTGGTCGGAGATCGACTTAGACCAGTGGTGCCGCCGCATCGACCGATCCGACGTCATCAACTTCGTCGTCCGTCGCCTCGTTCGCCGCAGCAGGGGCACCCTCCGCCGCCTCTCCGCCTACCGCCTCAGCAACTCCGGTTTCGTCTATGTCGCCACATCGTAACTCCCCTCTTCCCTCCCTGATATTTTCCTGCTTTCTCTCATGTATGAAACATAATTGATAATCTCTACCCCATCTGTTCTGGCTATTGTCGTCCATGGAACGCAGTAGTTTCTGCTATGAAGCAATAGATGTCCCCTAAAGAAAAGTGAAGCAAATCGATGCTTGGAAACGTTATTTAGGGTTACTCTCTCGATGTTTTTGTCGTCGTGAGGAAGCTTATGGTTCATTTGTTCTATCATTTTTGCCTTGTAAGATTTATTATTATTATTATTATTATTATTATTGTTGTGGTTATATATATATATATATATATATATATATATATATA